CTTGGTAATGGGAATGACCCTGCTGACCACAACAGGACAGGCTGCTTGCCCACTCCTAAGGGTAAACGTGGTCTTTAACACATTGGAAACTGCAGGATGATGCTGCTGGATGTGTGTTTGGGTTAGCCTCGTTGTCATCCTGCCAAAACGAGGTGGCCTTGGTACTGGAGAGTCTGAAATGAGTTGCAGGAAATGCCGCTCTTTAGTACTTAACATGAAGGCACAATTCAGACTCATGTCAAATCTCAAATCTTCGCTGAGGGATGGTGCCTGATTAAAGCTTTCCATTGTTCTTGAGTTGTAGAGGGTTAATAAATAGTGGAAGATGTTGGTTACAGATACGGGAGGCCATATCTGCTCATCAGTTTTGTTTGAGTCTTTGATGTTCTCGCAGTAACAGTGTTGATAAGCCTGGATTTTTCTTTGTAGTGCTAATAAGCATTTTAATAGAAGGATCTGAAATTCTTGTAGCAATTAAGAATGTATTAAAAAACATTTACTTAAGCAAAGACTGAAATAAGAAAATAACTTAAAACAATCTAATTTTACATATCTCCTCATTGTACGCTTTGCTCTCTCAAGGTATCTTTTCCAGAATCTTTGGTAGTAGAGACTGAGTTTTTCTCTTGTGAAGTGTTTCCCAACCAGCAGACGAGATGGCGTTTTTAAAAAGGATGGATTGTTTACTTTGCTGTCCTAATCTAGTCAAGGCTGCTAGTTGGGGAGGGGGTTTCTGCTAGTGATATGACTCAGGGCTTTATTTTAAGACATGGAAATGTCTAATTTTGAAATCATGCTGGATGGTTTTTGTATTTTATTTAGTCACAAAGCAAAGTCTTTTGCTATGATAGCAATGAAAGTAGCTAATCTCTATCTTTTGAAAAGCAGCTTTTGCGGTCTAAAGAGCTACGGTTGTTTACTAATCCTATTAATACTATCCCTCATGAAACACTGCAAATTCTCAAAACATGTACATTAGCTTGTGTGTTTATGTCTAGTGGGCTAATGCTCAGAATCCTTTGCAGTATCAAAACCCTGTGACAGAGCTCTTGCCGTCAGTTGCAGGAAAGCTGTTTCATTAAGGGACAATATGCTGAGGAAGGTGGCTTTGGACAACGAGTTACACTTCAGCGTTGATGCAGCCTGGCGTGAGAAAGGACTGAAACAAGGCGGTGCCAAGAAGCGCTGGTGGTTGAAGGGAGAAAGCTGCGCAGGGCCTGAAGATGATAGTGTGGGCAAACTCTGCTTTTAGGGTAGCAGTTGAAGACATTGAAAGTGTAATAATTAGGATTACTTTATCAGGGCAGGGTGGGGTGGGGGGAGATTGTGATCATTTGATCATAGTCTAAAAGAGCTCAGAAGGAGAAGGTAGAATTGCTTTAATTGTGGTGAACAGCTGCAGAGCAGGATCAGCTGGACCAAGGCTGGTGCTGAACAGCCTGTAACAACACAGGTTATTTTTAAGGATAAATATTCCTTAGGTTAACGTACTGAAAGCTGTGGTGGATTCTGTCGTTCAACATCTGAATTTCTTTTTAAATGGTGCTTGATCTCAGTCGGGAGGTGTGGGCTTGATAGCGCAGCTGCTCTGTGATCTCCCACGGCCCGCGTGGATCAGAGGTCGGCCTCAGCTTTCGTGATAGCGGTGTCAGGAAATAAAATCCCTTTTCAGCTGGGCATAGAAACAAGAACTGATGTTTCTATAAGAATGAGATAAGGTGTCTTTGTATCTCACACGAGTATTTAGCTTCCAATGAAAGTTCTCTGATTTGTGTTATTTTTGGCTGTTGCTGCCCCTGTTACAATTACTGAGCACAATCAGCTGGGGAGGGTTTTTGTCCTTCAGCACCTGAATCTGCAGAACTTCAAGGGGAAGGATTGTCTTTTGAAGTCAGTGTGCTTTTCCTGAATGCATGGCAGGCAAGTAGGAAAAATCCAGGGAATCAATTTGTGTAAAACTGAAGTGTAGGGGGGGAGATGCCCGGGAGAACGTTTCCATGTTGGTGTCCTGGGTAACTTGAAGTCAGCTAAATAGGTGGGACTAGAAGAGCTGAGTGAAAGTGGTGCTAGAAATGGCAGATTGTGTGGAGGCTTTATGGGTGTCTGAAATAACTACTGACAGCAGAAAATTTAGAGTAAGTGGAGGGATGGTTGTTTCAATGTAGTGGGGAGAAGAGGCAGAAGAAAAAAAGAGGAGAATGTGCATTCAGAATTTTTGTTTTGATTTGCAGTCTGCGATGCTGAGTTCTTCCCCGTGCCCTCCAAATGTCTTCTACCTGTAGCGTTTGTAACAGGTGACGTGAGGAACACGCTCGAGTATGTTCAGTGTCTGTAGGTAGTACAGTGCGTGTGGGGTTGTGTATGTGCAGATATATGTAAATATAAAGAACATACTGTGCTTAAGATCCAATTTAGGGTAAGTTTTCTGGTTGTTGGCTGCACCTGAAAAATTGTGACAAAATGCTAAGAGCTGTGGGGGGGTTTAGTAGCTGTTTTTTGACATTCATGGCTTCCAGTCACCTTTAATAAGGTGCTGAAGCTGTGCCCACGTGAATTCGCAAACCCTCTTTGGTAACACACCTCTGGAGGGTGAAGTGCAGTCTCACTCGGGGTTTTCTGGACTGCCCAGCACTACACATTTTCTTGAGATGCAATTTGGTTCCGTGGGTTAATATGCAGTTTATTGGGGTGTTGCTGCCACTGCTTGGGTTTTTGTTGCATGTCACTGTTGGCGCGTGCCTCTGTGGCTGCTGCTTTCCTCTCGGGCAGGAATTCTGGGGCTGTGGTGTATTCGTTTCAGTGGTTTAGGCAGCGAACAAGGGATGACGCTTCAGTTTTTCTGCCAGGGAACAAAAATGTCAG